CCTGATACCTGGGCATCCCACGGGAAACCAGACAGGAGCTAATCCAAAGTGACCTCGGTTATCACCCGGCCTCTCCCCTGGGAGGGCTACAAGATCCCTGATGCCCTTAAACCTCAGGTCTGACACTGCCAGGTACCTACACGTTTCCTCAGCATAGGCAGCTCTGGTTGCGGTACAGTTGGCAAAACCATGCTCCAGGCTCTGCCGAAATCAGCAGTGGTTTGTTTAGTTTCCTGAGTAAAAAAAAATACTTCTTTTGGCCTTATCTGGATTGAAAAGACGATTCAAAGGTTATAAATAGCAGTGGCAGCATATGCTAAGGAGCTTCATTTCAGAAGTAAATATCCTCATCGTTTCAATGCACATTTCCCCTCGTCGTCTCTCCTGCCTCCTCCTGTCTGGCCGAAAACATTGCCAGGTGACTTGCAAACCCTGCACCCCTTAAGACCTTCATTCTTCTTTACATCTTTAAGCAGCCAGTAATTAATATCTGCATGACGGCTTTGCCTGCCTAATTATCTTCTTTGCTCAAAATAAGAGTCTTCCTAAATAACTTCTGTGGCGTTGCTTGCAGCAGGCATCACAAGCAGCCGTGCACCAGGACAGGCCTCTCAGCTGTAGTTTGGAGAAGTCATTTTTATGCTGCTGCAGCTCGGGAGCTCGCGAGCCTGCTCCTCCCATGAATAAAGCTGGGCACGCTATAAATTTGGCTGGGTTTGTACATATATAAACAGCCCCGGAGCACTGGCAGGAACAGTATGGGACAGCTCTTCCAGAAACACCAGCTCCCGCTGCAACCCCCTGCTCTCAGCCTGCCTCCCCATCTGAAAACCCAGAGCCACAGACATACAGAAGAGGGAGGAAATTTCAGCACCGGCCAAAGCCTCGCTCCAAAGCCAAGCAGCAGCTCAGGGGAACAGAGCATTTCTTCAAGGGGTAGAAACTTGCTTGCACGTTACAGAAGAAGGATGGCCACTCCATCCAGTGCTGTCCCCCGGTGAGAGCAGCCACGGCAGTGCTCCCTCAGAGGGGCCACGTTTCTACCTCCGTGCTGCTTGCGCAGAGATTTCTGAGACCTTTAAAAATCTGCCAGGTACAAATTCACACTGGTCCTGTGGAAGAGAAAGTGCAGCCATTCAAGGGGCAGCAATTTGCTTGGAATCAGGGGAGATGGGAGGCCAGACCCAGCTCCTCGCAGGTGGCACATTGCCACCTAGCTGGCATTTGCTTATTTTTCTTGTGAAGCAAGTTCCCCTGGCAGTGTGCCGCCAGACTGGGTGGGAAGCCTCCCTGGTGACTGGGGACCCCAGGGGCCAGGGTACTGCTGCTGTCACCAGGCACCAGCCAGAGGAATCAAAGATGAGCTGAAAGCCAGCTGTCCCGAGGCAGAAGGGAGCAAATCCCCTCCCTCCCATCCCCAAATCCCTGCTGGTCCTCTCAGCTCACAGCAGATGCTAGCGCTGGTCCAAGGGCACCAAACCACCCTTCTGCAGGCTTTGTACCAAACGCATTTCCCCACCTCTCCTGCCTCATTCCCCCCCCTCAGCAGCTCCATCAGGGATGATCCTGCTGTGGGAAGAATCCTGCTCTGTGCAGCTTGGGCTCTGGTCCCGGAGTGTCCCTGCAGAGTGGGGACAGAGGAGGCACAGGGCAGCAACGAGTCCCTTTCCCAAGAGCTTCCCAAGTGCCCTGGGACGGCAGAGGGTGCCAGCTAGGACACTGCAAATCTTCACAGCAGCGTTGCTGGTGGGTCTGATGGGAAGGGCTGACTCCATGCAACTCCCAGTGTTCTCAGAGCCAGCGCCAACATCTCCGCTCATTATCTGCTCTGTCAGCTCCCCAGCCCTGCTTGCTCCCTGCCACTCGCAGCATTCAACAGGCTGCTTACGGCTGCCCTGTAGGATCACAGCTCCGCTGAGCACTGTGCTTCCCAGCTCTGCAGGGCTGCAGTGTGGCACCCCAAACCACTGGCCCCAGCCCCACATGCCCCAAAGCCATCAACCTCTGCATCAGCATCCCAGTGACCAGCGCCATCTGCCCGTGGCAGTGGGTCCCCTCCCACCCCACCCCACCTTGGTCAGGTCCCTGCCCATCTCTGGAAGGATCCCATCTGCCTCCTGCAGCCCTGGGATTCTTGGTTTTCCAAAGCACCAAACACACGCATGCACACACACATATCCCTGCTCCTTGTGCATGCCAAACTGCTGCGTCAGGCTGCCCTGCTCGGATGGGAGCAGACGCTGATGCTTATCCCAGGGCTGCCCTGCTCTGGGGCTGCCCACATCCCAGGAAGAGGCTGTCTAGAGGAGCGGAGCTCCTGCCGGCTCTGCAGGCACCTCCCAGGATTGCTGGTGGGGTCAGGAACACCACTTGGCAAAGGATTAAGAAATGCATGTGGGGAGCCAGCCCAGGCGAGCTGCAGCAGGGTGCAGGCAAGACCTACCCTGCACCGCTCCCTGGCAGCTCCGGTCCAGCTCCTGCCCGATGCCACCCTGCAGTGCTGCGGTGACAGAGCAATCACCCCATCACCCATCAGGCAGGTGCTGCTGGAATGCCAGAAACACCCTGCTGGAGAAGTAACCCTGGGCAGGAAGGTGTGCAGGGGAAATCCAGACAAATGCGACATTTCTCCAGGCAGGGGCAGCTCTACTCCTCCCACCCGGCCAGCCAGCACATTGCTTCGGTGTTGGAGGAGGGAAACCCGCAGGCAGGTGGGACAAATGGGAAGAAGCCATCCTCTCCTACTCCTCCCAATGGATCCTGCCATGGCAAAAGCCTCTCCCTGCATCTCTCTGGGGGCTGTGCTGGGAGCATCTCTGGGGAGCAAGGCAAGACACACCCCTGCCCAGCAAACTCTCAACTTGTGGGTGCTGCACCCAGGCTCTGACACCACAGTCCCCAGAGACCTCAGTTAACTCCCCAAAGCCTGTGTGTCGCCGGAGGGAATTGACACCGCCTAACCCCCAACAGTGTTCTGCCATACAGGCGGAGACAGGTTCCCCAGGGGAAATTTAGTGCAGGTGACTAACGCAGCAGCCCTGAATCACCCGCCAGGGATGTGGGGGAGCTGAAAGACACTTTCCAGCATAGCCAGTGGCTCAAGTCAGGCTGCATGAATCCCCTCCCAGCTTTCTGCCTGAGAAATGGGGCCAGCGAGCCCTTGTCTGGCTTTGCGACTTGGCTTGCTAAACATGGAGGAGTGGCAGTCTCCTCCTGCACATTTATGCCAGCCATGCCCTGAGAGTGGCTGGGACCATCCCGTGCTGTCCCCAGAGATGTGACACCAGCAGTGCCACACCTCCCCGCTCTGTTCCTGGCACCGCTGTGCCTTTGCCAGCGGAAAACACACCACATCTGGCAAAACAGCCTCAGCAGTTTGCCTGACACCTGTTACGCTGCAAGAAACACTCTTCCTAACACCAGCCAGGGTGAGACAAACACCCGCCGTCCCCGGCACCAAGCTGCTTCCAGCATCGCTGGTGGGGCTAAATGCAGAAGGCAGCGCCCTGGGCAATTTCCCCATGAGTCACCCGGTGAAAGTGCTGTGCCCCACAGCCCCAAGCACTTCGGTTCCCGCACACACCTCTGGCCCTTGAAGCACAGTTGCTCCCATTTCTATTGCTGGGATGAGCAAAGACGATCTACTAATTAGAGCAGCAAATAACCCAAATCCGGTTAAAGTCACTGTTAACTGCCCAGCTGAGACAAACACGGCTTAGAGAAGATGTTCTCCCTGGGAGCACAGCGGCTCTCACCTCCTCCAAAGGGAGCGTGACCCCAGCACCGGGATGGGGAGAGAGGGAGCGTCAGTTTGGGGCTTGTACTCAAGAGTCCCAGCTTCTCCCAGCGCCGTGGCTGGTGGTCAACAGGCAGAGGAGGGCACGGGGGCAGCTGTGCCACCCTGCAGCAAGCACAGCCCTTCAGCGAGCTCTACCTGGGGTCACACAAAGCTGACAGCAGCCCAGGCCAGCCCAGCACCCGGCAGCAAGGGAGCGACGCCGAGGCAGGGCTGTGACATTTTGCACAGGGAAAGCCACCGCCTGCCCGGCACTGGGCCGTAAACAGCTCAGCCTCCCCCTTCCCCCAGGACGAGCACGCAGCACCACTCAGCAGCACTGACTCCCCTCCTCAACATCTCCCGGCTTCAAACTTTGTGCTCAGCCCTTTGCAGGATCTGGCCCCTAAAGGCTGGGCTGAATTGAGACCTTACATTTTAACCGACCTCAAGGAAAGCAACGCTATCTCAGCCACCACGGCTGGCAGAGCCAGACAGCAGCTGCTTTGCAGCCTGCAAGCTCCACCGAGCTGGGTGGCAAGGACATTTTGGGTGGGGAGGGGTTAAACCTCACTGCAAACACCTGCATCCACCAGAACTAAAGCTTGCTGTTCAAAAACACACACACACACACACACCCTGGGTCTCACAGGGCTCTGTCTGCAGCTGGAGGGTGAGGAATGACACTGCCGGAGTTTGCCAAGGGAGAGGGCAGAGATTTCCCGGGCGGATGTCATTCCGAACAAACCTCCCCCATCTGGAGCTGGGCGATGCTGGAGCATATCGCCAGCTAATCAGCAGGGTGGCTGGAGCAGGCTGCACCACCGAGACGGATTAACCGAAGGGTCTGAGCCCAGCTGGCTGCCTTCGGAGGCAAGGAGCCGAGCAGGGATGAGGCAGAGAAGTGCATCAACCGCAACAGCAAAGCACAGCAACTGGTGGCTCTTGGGAGACTTCCCTAGTTTGGGTTCAGTGGCCAGCCTGGCTGCAGCAGGGACACTCCCAGGGCCTCCCTCCACCCAGGGACAGCGCTGGAGCCATGCTGTGACAGCCTCCCTGGCTAGAGCAGAGGGCTTGTCACTGCTGCAATGTAATCCCAGGGATGGATAGCATGGCTGGCAGCTGGAAAGGGTGCACGGCTCAGGCAGCAAGATGGGGGACCACTCCTAAGACCCACCCTTGCCCTCAGCACCCAGCAAACTCCCATGGAAACTTAGGAACTCACTGCAGTCGTCAGACTCGTAGCCCTCGGGGTCCACCACCTCCTCCGGTGCTTGACACTTGGCTGGCTGCTCGGTGGGTGTCGTGCCATACGCCCCAAAAAGCTGGTCCACGTCTTCGTCCTCCTCGCGGGGGGCCTCGGCGGGGCTGACGGAGGGCTGGCTGACGGCAGAGCGCAGGGCACTGCTGCGGCCAACGGCGGCAGGGAGCCCGCGGGGAAAGCGGGGGAAGTAGTCAGAGATCTGCTTGATGGGTTTGATGGGGCCAGGGCAGACGTCAATAGCCATGTGCTCCTGGATACTTATGGTCATTTTCTCTCCTTTTCGGAGTGTCATGCATGCGGCTGTCGGTGCCAAGCTCCCCCGGAGAAGCCCGGACTGTGCGTGAGGGAGCCGTGAAGTTTCTGCCAGGGGAAGCGGAGGCAGGCGAGGGGGGAAGCTCTGGCGGGCACCTTACGTGGTTCTCGCGCCCTGAGCCTCAGACGCCGCACGCATGCTGCTGCCGCCAGCTCTGGCTCTCGCACAGTCCCTGATCCTGCCAGCGCTGCCTGTGAATAAGTGAGCTAGACGGAGAGACGGATAAGAGGCAGGGGGTGGGCTCTCGGGTGATGTCACAAGCCCCCCTCCCTGTACCCGTTCACTCCATCTCCCCACCAAAGCGGGGTTGGTCCCCGCCAGACCTCTCCAGAGGGGGGGGAAGGTCACTGTGTGGGGTCAGGAGCCGCTGTCCTGTTGTGTTGCATCCCCAGCACGCTGAGGAGAGGGAAGCAGGGCTACCCCAGCCCCTGGGGACCGTGGCAGCCCCTGTGCCCTCCCAGCTCGCTGCAGGGCCATGCCGGGGAGGTGTGCTGCTGCATACTGAGCAGGGGCACGGGTGGCACACAGCCTGCTCCCAGCTCAAGCCGCACCTTTGCTCACAAGGGCAGCCCAGATTTGGTGCCCCGCTGCCGTAGCCGGCCCCAGAGCACAGTGATACCCCCTCCAGAGCTTAACATGAGCCGGGCAGGCTGGGTGAGCTGCCCGCAGCCTCTGGGGCTGGGAACGCACCAGGGACTGAAGCAACACATGGCACTTGCTCGCAGCCCGGCTAGCGCTGCCTCTCCCAGCCAGCTTGTGGCTGGGGGGATAGAGCAATGCAGCAGGTAAAGCATCGCAGAGGAGCGAGCGATGGGCTGGGCCAGGGCCCACAGCCAGCGTGGCCACGCTCAGCACTCCTCCAGCAACCTTTCCAGGCAGGGATGGGGCCCTGTCACCAGCCAGGAAGGGGACAGGCTCCCTGAAGGCTGCCAGAGGCTCCCTGGTAAATGCTGAGCTGTGGTTTGCTCAGGGAGTTGGTGTCAAATCGGTGTTTTTACCCACTCTCCTCCTGTGTTCAAATCAATAAATCTGTCATTCCACAAACTACTGGAAGTGGACTTTTGAGCAAAGAGTGCCAGAAGAGAAATGCTGTGAGAACATGATGCAAAATGCTGCATAGAAACTCACCCTGCCCAGGAAAATGTGTCTGAAATATTTTGTAGGGGCAACTCCCCCAGTGCAGACTTTCTGCTAGCTCAGGTGTGATGGGTCTGGCATGAAGCTGGGACACACTGCGTGCACTGGTCACCCACCATCATGTCAAGCTGATCACAGCCAGTACTGCCAGGTAACCTGACAACACACAGATCCCATATCAATGCACAGAGAACTTCAGTTTCCTGCAGGCTGGCATGCAGATACCTATAAAAAATAAAGGTCAGTTCTTTGGAGAATTTTCCCCAGAACCCAGAAAAATTATACCCAACCTTTTTGTCTAATGAAAAATTCAATTTTTAATTCAGATTTTGGTAAATGTTAATGAACTTCCCTGACTCATAACATGCTGACACTAGGCAAACTAACCTAATTTACTTCTTGTCGGGAAGCAAACATTTCTCTTCTGAAGCATCCAAACTTGTCATCACTCTGAACCTAGACATGATGCACACGGGTGCTCTAATGACCTGGGAGAACAGGAGACTGCTCAGCCGCTCCTTCCTCCCTCTGCTGTGTTTTCGCTTCGAGGAGGCTCCTGCTTATTGCACAGAGGTGATCTGTGCTGCTCTGCCAGGAGGCAAACTGCTCTCTTGCAGCAAGGTCCAACAGCAGATCCAGCCTGAGACAGTTTAACCCCCTTCCCACATCCAAGGACTCCTAGTAGATTAATTCAGATGGAAATGCCACCTGCTTCGCATTCATGTGGTCGAGGCTGAAAACCTCGTGGGTGGGAAGACGATGGGTGGGAACATCAGGCGAGGCACAAAGAGCTGCCTTCAGGTTTGGAGCAGCCTGGATGTGCTCATCCACACAGGCTCCATCTTTGGGTGCAGCATCCAGGATGTGGTGTGGACTCAGACAGAACGAAGCAAAAATTGGGCCCGATGCCCAGAAAATAGCAGCAATTCCCTCTAAGAAAGGGTAAATAAATAAATAAGTGAAATTATGTATGACAGCCTAATGTCATTATTTTCATTACAAAAGCATCGTTATTTCAAATGTTTCCTCAAAGAGCACAAGATCCAAACAGAAAAGGATTTACAGGTCAGAAAATCAAGGCTCATGGGAATTGAGGTGAGCCCGAGCTCTGCCTCCTCCCATGTCATGCAGTACCCCGAAAGCTGCCCCGCACCTTGGACAGCCCATGGCTGGGATCAAGGCCCAGCAGCACTGATGGGAGATGCTCAGCTCACCCAGGGATGCAGAGAGCAACTGGTGACACAAGGGGCAGGGTGCACACAGGGACCAGATTAAGGGAAAAGCAAAGACAGAGCTGAAGCCGGCAAACCTCCCTGCTGTCAGGGCAGGACTGGCCCTCAAGGGAGACCCTGTCCCCAGACCTTATAGACTGAAAGAAACAAAAACAAGGCTTACTGCTAATAGCCCAGATGGGACTTTCTAGTCTCTGGCCGATCCCAAGCCTACTGAAAGCAGCTGGAGCCTTTCCTTAGCTTTTAACGAGTCCCAAAGCAGCTTGTTTTTGATAAACCACACTTTTCCTACCATCTCACACTGCCTGAATGTTTCCTCCTAGGTCGCACAGCCCAGTATTTACTGAGGGCTCCCCAAACGTGGCAGGGGCTGGCTGCACAACCAGGCACCAAGCACTGGCATACATGACACATGACAGCACGGAAGGTAAAAGGGACAAAAATAGAGAGTTGGGCTGAGAGACAAAAGCAGGGCTTGGAGATACAAAGCCAGTTTCCAGGTAAAGCTTTTAATTCCCACCGTCTGTCTAATGCCCTGGAATGTGACTTGATTTGATCCCTCACTCTGCTGGGGTGATTCAGAGCTACTGCAGTGCCCACGCATGCGGCCTTCATTTCCCTGAAAGGGGGAACGCTGGCTTCCTCGCCAGCCTGGCAAGAGGGGAGATAGTTTAAATATCACGTGTCTGCTTTCATCAGCGGGACCAACAGCTCTGCCTGGCAGGGAGCAGAGCTGCTCTGCAGGGGGATACTCCATCCCTGGAGTAAGGGAGGACTTCTTTAGAGAAGGTGAAGATGGCCATCACAGAGTCAACATCAAAGCAGGAATGGGATGACGGAGAAGAGCACGTCGCCCCTGTCAACAGCTGTGTTTCCTCCCCATGGTACGTGCAAGCCATGACAACATCCTGAGCTCAGCACATGCGACACTGCGCTTCAGCAGCTTGTTCTGAGGTGCAACAGAGTGGTTCAGCTGCTCACATCAGATGAGGGCATGGGCTGGTGTGCCAAAAGCATCCCATAATGAGAACTGGGGTGTGGGATGCACGAGCCACCACTCCAACTCCAGCCCAGGCTCAGAAAAGGATCCTGTCCTGGGACAGCTGAGACTTTAAATGTTGTACTGAACAAAGGGCATAAGCAGAGACTTAAGCCCATCTCAAACAAAGCCTGTGCCACCAACTCACCCGTGCCCAGAGCAGAGCCATGCAGCAGTCCAGCTTCCTTACGTGACCAGGGAGCTGTCCTGCCAGTGCCGCACAAACGGGCAAACAGAAGGAACATTCCTACAGCAAACAAAATGGTAGCATGTAGATTAAACATGCATCCAGAGATACAGAGTATCCTCAGGACACACTTGAAACAAATTTGTTTCAAACTCTAAGCATCGAATTCTGCTGTCAGTTACTCCAGGTTTAAGACTACAAGAATGAGAGCTGATTCCAGTTCAATCAATTCCTTTCCAAATTAAAAGTACAGCAGCAGGACTGCACATCCCCGCCGTTTACCAGAGATTTGATGACTGACCCGTTGGTTCTTTATTTAATACTTTGTCAGCTCAAACCCAAACGATTTCACAGAAACCCTCTGCTCTGCTGGTGCTGCTGGAGAAGACATGAGCCTGAAGAGTGCATAAAGAGCTGATGCCAAATTAAAGCCTCTGTTTGGAGGAACTACCTCTGGATCTCATACACCGTTGAAATAAGGGGACCCACTGCAGGTTAGGAGCAGGGAGGTTTCACAGTCACCCAGGGAGGTGACACAAGGCAGCACCAGCCTGCACAGCTTTCTTTTTGCTTCTTCCCAGCCATTTTTAAGCCCGTGTTAAGCCACAGCAAGTACCCGCAGCCTTAGGCATGAGAGGGTGCCCGCAAGTACACACCAGCTCAACCTGGCTGCAGGGGCAGGAACAGGGGATACCCATGCTGCCAGCCCAGCTCTGCCAATGCTGCTGGAAGAGACCTCTCCCTCCCTTTGGGGTGACTTGGGACCTACATTGTCTTCAGTCCACCCCGCTGGTAGGTATGAGACATTTCTTTTTTCTTCAAATGATCTTAGCTCTAACACGGCTGTGTGCATGGGAAGGGGATTAATTGAAAAGCAACACGTGCCTTACTCCTTGGCCCACACAAGGCGCTGTCTTCTGGCTGATGCACAGCTACCGGCAATGAGGCTGCTTCCCCTGAAAGATCTCTGCCCTCGATCGCTGAGTCCATTGAGTGCGTCGTGGACCCTACCTGGTTAAACACCCTTTGCATTTGCTAAATTAAGCAATAATAATAATGATAACTAGGAAACTTGGCTAAATAATCCTAAGAGGCTTACTCCAGTCTGTGCCGATTAAGGTTCCCCAGCAGTGCCAATATCCCAGCGCACCCTGGCCCCCACTGCTCCTCTGCGCGAATAATATCTGAGGTTATCTGTGCTCAAACAGGCCCTGCTAACAACCATCATTTGACCAGATTTAACCAGCAATTACTAGCTGCGAACAAAACCACTGTGGTAAAATACAGCCCACACTCTATTACAAAGCAGACACAAACAAACCCTTTCAGAAAGCCAGGCAAAGGGCAAATGCCAGCAAGAAAGAGCCCTCTTCCCTCAAAATATTTCATAAGGTCTCTGGGAACCTTAAGCAACACCCAACTTATGGCAAGGGGGAATGGCGTCTTTCTTACCAGCACTTTGTTACCTGCAGATGGACCTGCAAGGGAGCTTCCAAGAGGACAGGAGGAGGTAGGGAGGCATCTGCTCTCTGTGCATCTTCAGCACCATTCAGGATGGGCCCAGAATAGCTAAACTTTCGGTAGGGGCTGATGTTTAATGTGTAGCATATGTTGCCATTTCGATGTGAATCCCAAAATAGTTGGTGTTTTGTTTTGTAATTTTAATGCACTGGTTTTTGGAGTCTCCTGTTCAGGGAGGGAACATCCTGTGCATGTGCACCCTGACATACTGCTTCCAACACATTAGTCACCTGCAAATCAACCAGAGCAGACAATCAGTTGCTGTAAATATTAGCTATATGGAGCACATATTAAATGCACACAAATTCACTAGGGGTGGATCTGTGCGCAGTGAGAAGGGGAAGCTGCAGGAAAATCCAACTGGATGGTGCACAAGGGGAGGGGGTGCTGCCCCTGAGCATTACTGACCTGCACATGTCTCAACACAGAGGCTGAAGCCAGCAGGGCCGGGGAGCAGCTGGGCAGCCTGCAGGCAGGGCAGCCTGCCAGCAAGGTGTGGGGCAGCTCTGCAGCTGCGTGTGGCCCACGCACCCACTGCTCCCCAAACCCAGGGTGAGAGCAGAAGCACCCCCATCCCATGCATCCATCTCACCTGCACAGGCAAACCTGCGTCCCTGGGGCTGGACTAGCTGCTTTCAGGAGTCTCCTAGGGGCAGAGAGGGGACACACAGTGAGTTCCCTGCGCTGGCAGGCGACAGTGCCGAGCTCACTCTGCTGGGTTAGAAATGCGGGATGATTTGGGTTCAGCCCTTGACAGAAACGTGAGCCACGTTCCCCACTCCAGTATCACCGCTGCCATCATGCTATATTCAGCCAGCACCTACCAGAGAGAGCAAAACTTGCAGGACAGAGGGGGCAGGGCAGTCCTGGGCAAAGCAGGATCCCAAGCCCTAGGGGGGTCCCTGCCCTGAAACACCCTCCTGCACAAATCCTCCCCTTAACTGCTTTTGTCCTGTTTCACCCTTGCTGACATCCCATCTTGGGATACAGGGCTGTCCAGGGCCAGTCCTCAGGGACATCTTCTTAGGAATGAGCCTTTTTTGACTTTTTCCTCTTATTTCACTCATGGTCCTTGGGTTCCCCCTAACTCCAGAGACTTAAGCAGGTGTTTGCCATCATGAGGCCAGGCAAAGCCACCTTTTTGCATCATGCTTTCTCTTTTTGTTCTGTGCCTGTAAGCTAAATGCAGACCAAATCCCTTGCATTGAAGGGAGAGGAGAGTTCTGTATAGCATCAACTCTTATTAGACTAATTTTATCTGCTCTCAGTGCCTTTCCGAGCTGGAGTCAATGTCCTGTGAGATTATCCAGCTGACTTGTCTTAGTAGTTTTACCCTGCTTTTACCTCTTCCCTTCCTGACTGTCTCCCAGCTGCAGGAGGATGACAACATCACTTCTCAAGACTTTCCAGGCAGATCAGAGCAAAGCCCAATGTTTATTCTGAAGCAGCTCCTTACCCTGTGGAAGCTTGGACAAGCCACAATTGTTGGCCTGGGGAGCTGCACTCAGGCTGGGTACTGCTGCCTCCTGCACACCCAGCTCTTCAGACTCCACAGATGTCCAGAAACAGAGTTAACATCAGCATTTAGGGCTTGGCCCTGTTGCCATGGAAATTGATAGACCTTCTGCTCACATTTTGGTGGGAGGAAGAATTTCAGGAGTCACCACTAGCTTCCAAAGTTAACACACGTGAAGCCAAGTGAGGGCAGAAAGCAGCCGAGCTCTGCAGAGGCAAGGGGAGGACTACTCCCACCCCACACTCCGAGAATTTGGGAGTTAGATGCAAGCAGAGGGAAAAGGCCACTGATCACCAGCAGCATCAAGATGCTGCACAGTGAGCTCCAGGGATTCATGAAATAACATCTTGGTTTTGCAGAATTAAAGAGCAATTTGGCTGCATTAAGAAAGCATTATAGCTGCTCCTCTCCCACATACACATCAGGCTAACGACATCCTGTCAAAAGCAATCTAACCAAAGCCCCCATTTGGTGCTGATACTTAGTGCAGTAAATGTACCTGTCACAGCCCTGCAATGGCTGGTGGAGCTCTGTCCTGGATGCTGCTCCTCCCAGCACGGCTGGGAGTTGTCCTGCCCATCCCTGGATCATGAGGCTCAACCAGCCTTGGTGAGCTGTGAAGGAATCGGCCGCGAGGGCTGCCAGGGCATTTTCCTGGCCCCATCCACAAATCCCAGTATCATACCAACATTGCAAAAAGCAACACAAATGAAAGAGCAAAATGAAAGGCCCTGGAGTCACGCAAGGAGAAGGGCAAATCCGTATCTACTTTGGGGTCAGGCTGCTGGAGGGTGCAAACAGCCCCATATTCCCTGAGCTGGGCAGGGCTGCTCAAGTTTGCACAACAGAGACAAACCTGCTCTTTTGGGGACTGCAAAAACCCTGTGGATGTACCTGCAGGACGTACCTGAGGGAGCAATCCTGCCGGCTGGGGAGGCAGCGGGGTGATGTGCTGAGCCCTTCCCCGGGGCAGGCAGCTCTGAGCTCTTCGTGGCTGCCAGCTGGCACAAAGCTGCAGGAGCAGCCGGCGACGAGGAAGCCCTGCAGTGCCCCGGCAAGCAGCTACACCAGCACCTGCGGGTTAGCAGCAAAGAAATTGAGGCCGCAGCCGAGACAAGCAGACTCCTGCCCAGAGAGCAGCTTTACCGTCAGTGTCGAGGAAGGCAAGCCAGCCTGCAGGATCCCTCTCCCCTCAGACCTACGGGCTATTTAGCCATCTGACCTTATGTCACCCGACCCAAGGCGACGCAGGACAAATTTTCATTCCACTGTGGGGAAGCCCAAGCATTTTCCAGCTCTGTAGTGAACCAGGGAAAACGAAACTGCAGAGCAAGGGATAACCACCAGCCAAAAAAAGGGGAGATGGAGAGGTGGACAGGTACAGGGGCATCGTTTGAAATACTAACATTAAAATTATACCCATCTAAGGGGGGGCACGTCCCAGGTCATTAAGCAGCCAGAGGAGTCACTAGATGGCCCTGCTAGTCCTGTTCATCTGATCACAGCGATGGATATTAAGAAACGCTAGTTTAGCTACTCTGCAGGCTTCTGGGGACTGTGAAATCTGCTCCGAGTCTCCTTCTGGGAGGAAGGCCCTCCTGAGGAGAGTGTGGCAGCCGGGTGGTACCTTGGCCAGGCACGTGGAGGGGGGTCCTGAGGATATGTGGCACTTCTGGTCCTCGCCAGGCAGACGAATGGTCCTTCCTGGTCCCACCATGACCTGGGTGTCCCCTTCCCTCCAGACCGGCTCCACTTGCCCGAGACACTGCAAGTCTCTGCCTCAGCGTAATCATGTTGACAGTGATGGGTGTAAGAGCCAGGGAACCATATTAATGAACATCGTGTTGCTGGATAATCATGACATTAGCATTATTGGATTAGCACATTTGCATAATTTGGGCACGAGCCGCTACCTGCACCGAGACATATGTTTACATGAATTTATATCCATTTGCATCCCAATGAAGCTCATCTGACTGCATCCTCAGCAGCTTTCTGGGTGACCAGTCATGGCCATTGGCAGCTCAACCCCGGGGACCATCTCCTGCTGTCAGGCACAATCACAGGCCACTCAGATGCCAACAAAACAGCAATATTTTCCCTCCTCAGGGTCTTACACAGGTTACACCTCAGCTGGGATAGGCATGCCCCTTGCAGGGGCCAGGAGCAACTCACCCCCAGCCTCAGCACTGGGGTCACTCAGGCTAAAATTGTCCCCTTCTCAGTCCCCATGGACTCTTGCCGCCTCTCGAAAGGCCAGGTCCTGGGTCCCAGGATAGCAGGTAGTTAAGTCCATCCTAGTCATAGCTGTGAAAAGAGCTTGATAAAACACTCCTACCAGGCTGCAAAGCTCTGAATTTAAGAGGCCAATACAGAGAACACAAAATGAACTCTTTTTCTCTTTTTTTTTTTTTTTTTTAAATCACATGATCTTTGATTCAATTACTTGATTTTACAGGAAGGGGGAGAGAGATTCAATTACTTGATTCCTGATTTCTTAACACAGAAATATGGACTCTGCGACTGTGGTCCACAGAAAGGCAAAAAGCCCTTCAAAGCCGCATTGCAACAATTTGGTGGCAACATCAGATTGATACAGCTGTAAGAAATAAGCAGTTTCCCCTCCTGGCCTCCTCAGCAGAACCTGCTCCAACATTAAAGTAGCATAGTAATATCCCAGCACAGAGTCCTGCAGCCCACCCACAAAATTACAGGGCGAGAGGGGTTCAG